ATTTGCCCACTTTCTATATTTCTACCCATTTATAAAATTTTTTTTTTCATTTATTCAATTTCAGTGTGACGAATTGATTTCTACCGGGGACATAGCTGTGTTTGCCACACGTCTAGGTCCGAATGCCTCTTGGCATCCGGGTTGCTTCATTTGCTGCATCTGCCATGAGCTGCTAGTCGATCTCATTTACTTTCATCGCGATGGCCGACTGTACTGTGGACGTCATCATGCGGAAACATTGAAGCCGCGCTGCTCCGCCTGTGATGAGGTAAGTTGATGAAATGATGTATCAATGCGCATACATATATATTTCAAAGATTTATTTTTATCAATGCAGAACGAAATGTATTATTTTCAGTCCAACAAAATCACAATTTATTGTACATATATGTACACATTTAAATATGTTTGAAAACAGATTTGCCCATTAAAAAAAATTGCTTTTAAAGTTGTAAATTTAAAGTTTCCCAAAATAAACTGGGCGGGGTTAAAAATGCATAAATACTTCATGTAACGAATGTTATCAATGGAAAATTAAGAGATATACATACAGGGCAATTCTGCCAACTTTCTTTTAACCCATCACAGTCCCTAACCAACACTTTTTTCAAAACTGCGTTTTCACAGATTTCGGTAGGATATATTAAAATAAACCTTCATTAAAAATTGTAAAGCCTTTAAATTTTTAAGGGCATTTGTGAATTAAGTTAACGATATGTACCTAAGTAAATTCTAAACTTAAATTAAATAAAAAATTGGTATTTTTCTTTTTAAAGAAAATTAAATAAAATAGTTAAAAATTATAAAGAAACTAAATAAAAACAAAATTATTAAAAACAAATGGAATAATTAAAAAAGTTCCGAAAAAATTAATGAAATGAAAAAATATATATTTTTCTTTTTAAAACAATAAAGTCCAAAAATTAAAACAAGAATTAAGTAAAAATGAAAAACTCAATCAAAATATTTGTTCATAGCGATCAAAAGAAATAAAAAAAAATCCTTTTAAAAGAGTAATATCCACAAATAAAAAAAATAATATAAGTTTCTAAAAATTAAATTAAACTTAAAAATATATATTCATATTTTTTGACAATAAAATCTATAAATTTTTCCGCCATTACTTTTACTAAGTATATCAGCCATAATAAATATTCCTAAGGCTTGTTGGAATTAAATTTTTCCGATTCGTCCTCTTTTATGCTTTAACCAGTTATATAGTTTAGGCCGAGTCCCGAAAAAAAACACGCCAATCTCTTTTCTACAGTGGCAACTGACGCCAACTGGAAGGCCAAGAAAAGTCAAGCCTTCTCTACCTTGTTTTTCCATCGCAGAGAAAATCTTCCCCTTTGTTCGACACGATCAATCCGGCTGAGCTGCACTATTCTCGTTTTCTTTTCGCCCAATCGCAACGTTGCCCTTTAAGCGGCATCTTTTTTCTTTGAAACGGCTAGGGACTTTATAGATCCCTATAGTAGGGAACGATTCATTATATTTACTCTTTTCATCAAAATTGGAATATGGTTCGAGGTTCTGGATTCGATACACTCCAGCAGAATATACATAAGCAGTCCATCGAAGCTTTTTACGTCTTCATCTTATACCACTTTATTTGATTGATCCTCTCGTACTTGTTTGCCTTTTCTCTTTGAGCAGATAAGCATCAGTGTCTCGTCTAGGCCGCTATAAACGAGTCAAAGCTCTTAGCTTATTAACAAGAAGTTTTAATTTTTAGGAAAATCTATATGGAATTAACTTAAGTTGTAATTGCATTTTTATCTTATCTGTAGGGTATTGGTGAAAATTATTACTTTATATTTTGAAATGATGATCAGGGATGCCGTTTGGATCTAAATAGATCCAATTGGATACATTTTTAGACGAATTTTTGCGGGATACTTATTTTTTCCGGTCAGTATAAATGTGGATACTTTTTTAAAGAGGCCAAAATTTTATATTTCCTATAAAGTTTTTTTCGTTCAAAAATCGATTTTCATTAAAGATGGTAGAAAGCATTACGTTTTCTAAACGTATAAAGAATCGTTACTTAAGCGTGAAATTAAAGCATTTTATTTTTTGTGAACGAAGCAATGAACATATGAAGAGATCTCTCCAAAATAGGTATAAGCGCAATTGCTTTAATTAGCTTAAACGGATGCTTTACGCAAGATCTTAATATACATACATATCGTCGTTTAAAGTACAAAACCGCGTATCAACAAATTCAAAACCGCGTATCAAGATAATGCAAAACCGCGTTGACGTGACGTTGCATAAATTATTTTTTAGAGAGTAAAAACACTTATATTTCAAAATGGTTCTCTTTTTTATAAAGCAATCGCATTTCTGGCTAGTATATTTCAGGACGAGTGGATACGGATTGAGCCAAGAGCTTGTGTGAGCAAATCCAATTTTCGGCAGCAAATGTCAGTTACGCGGTTTTGCACGACGATAAACGACGATATATATAAAGTAAATTATACTCTTTCTGTAGTAATATCTTTCATATCACATATTTTCATTTGTTAATTAAAAAAAAGAACATTTCAATGTAGTTTAAAAACTAAATTTGATTTATTTAAGGAAACTTTTATGAATTTTGCTGAAAGGACTTTAAATACACTCTAAAAAAATTTTGTTTATTTGCGCATATGGAGAGAAGTAACCAGTTTCCTCTTTTAATGTGTGCAAATTTGCATGCGGTGTAATAAAATTAATCATTGTCTGTTTACTTTTACGTAACGAATTTGTCGGGAGAGCAAAATTACACATAAAATGTTTAAAATAAAGTAATGTTTACTATTAGTAGGAAATGTATTTGTAGTTTGAAAATTTTTGCAATTTTAAACGTTCTGTATATGTGTATTTATGTGTATATCTTAAAGATCTCAAGTTCAAAATCAAATACTGAACAACCTATACGTATATATATACAGATTCTTGTTGAAAAATAGATACTTTTCAGTAGAAGTTTTACATGCTCTTTTTAGAGTGTACTTGCTATTTACTATATTTACTTTGCAAAATAATTATGCACAAAAAATGTACTTTATAAATTGAAATTACAAATGTTTGATTTTATGCACATGTATTCCAAGTCCTCAGGATGGGTTAAATTATGTATTTTTCATGAAAATGTTTGGTTTCTTATAAATTATGAGATGTATGTGTAAAAAAAGAAAATTGGATACATTTTCGGCTTGGTCAGGGATACATTTTCTTGAGACGGCGCGGCAACACTGATGATGATGAAAAATAGCAAGAATTAAATTTGGTAAAAGTTATAGCTTCTCTACCACACCTAGATTGGTATATAAAGCTTGTGGTCTACCCACTGATCGCCCAATATAAACTGTTATTGCTTTTCCAATCGCAACCCAACTTTAATACAAAGCAGTACTTTATGTAGAAAAGTGGTGGTTCTTATCTTGATAAATAAAGTTCGTTCTTAACTTCTTCCCCTTACAAGGCGCCTTGTTGCCCAATATTATAAACTTGGATAATAATTAATTCATCAAATTTTAAAGATTCTGTTTTCAAGAAAATCCGAACAAATATTTTAGTATTTTGTAAGTACTTATGAATTCACACTACAGTAAATAATTAAATAAATAAGTTTATTACCTTTCATTTTTAGGCGTCCTAACTTTTTATCAGCTGCAATTTCTGCTATTCACCGCAAAACACGCTCCTTTTGAAATCCGTTTTCACGTGTTAAACCGCAAGACGTAAAACTTTTGCAAACTCACTCGAAGCGTGTGAATCAAAATTTCAACAAAGAGCAACCAAGAGCAAACACCTTCGCTAATTTTTAACTAACCACTCTGTTCTGCGTTACTCTGAATGCACACATCCAAGTGTGCTTGCAATAGTACAATCCTGCTAACAGATTTTCCGAACTCCACTCTACAAAACAAGTATTTCTAATAAAACTTTCACCCAAAGTTTTCGCACCACACACTACCAGCTTCCTCCATCGCTTTAGCTTATCCTTTGTGTCTGCCTTAACGTCTACTTTACGTCTGCTTAACGCTTACTTTTCAACTTTTAAATTTATTTATCATTTCTATCTTCCATTCTCTCTCCTTCGCAGATAATCCTAGCTGATGAATGCACCGAAGCGGAAGGACGTGCTTGGCATATGAACCACTTCGCGTGCCAGGAGTGCGAGAAGCAGCTTGGTGGTCAACGGTACATAATGCGCGAGGGCAAACCCTATTGTCTGCTCTGCTTCGACGCCATGTTCGCTGAATACTGTGACTACTGCGGCGAGTCCATCGGCGTGGATCAGGGGCAAATGAGTCACGATGGCCAGCATTGGCACGCGACGGACGAGTGTTTCTCCTGCAATACTTGCCGCTGTTCGCTTTTGGGGCGCGCATTTTTGCCACGTCGTGGTTCCATCTACTGTTCGATTGCATGCAGCAAAGGTGAGCCGCCCACACCGTCGGACAGCTCAGGCACTGGCATGTACACCACACCGACGCCACCAACTCAGCGAGTGCGCCCACATACGCGCATTCCCAGCAGTCACGCATCAAGTTCGCCGCCAATGTCGCCGATGCAGCAACAACAACACCAGCAGAGCTTTAGTCAAGCAATGTATCAGTTGCAGAGTCAGCAAATAGCGGCGGGAATAGGTGGAAGTGGCGATGCCGCTGGCGGCAGTGTTAGTGATAGCAGTCCTGGGAGGGTTGGCGGAGAAATAGGTGGGCTCGAGAGTATGCCAGCAGGCATGAGTGCGGCAGGAATGAGCGCCGCAGCCGATATGACGCTTATGGAGGCAACCAAACAGAGTTACCAAACTTCAGACTCGGATGGCGGCGTAGTCAAGGATATGGAGCGCGCAGCCGGTAGTCGCGGCACTGGAGACTTTACCGACTTTTCGGGTGGCGCACCATCTACTTCATCGCAGAATCTATCGCCACTGCTATCACCAGGCGAATACACTCATTTGATGCCCAAACCAATGGAACTTAAATCGGAGGCGGCCTACAACTTTAATGAGATGGCGCTAAACTTGGATGCCGCTTGGCCTGCCAAACCGCC